CGGTCGCTAGCGAGTAGCGACCAATTCTAAAGTCCGCAGCACACCTTGAGTTTAACTGTTATGGAAGGAAACGGCATTGTCCTCACCAGACATTTCGTTTAACTCATATCGTGACTTTGGTTATTGCTCTAGCATGGTGGTAAGAAAATGAAAGAATGTTAACCACTCTTCTTTTGTAACAAAACAGCGATTGAATGAGTGCCAACAAAAATGCAGACATTGCAGCCTGCAGCTTGCAACTTGCAAGTCACAATGCTTGCAAAGCCTCTCTCTCCCTCTCCTCTCTCTCTCTCTCTCTCTCTCTCTCTCTCTCTCTCTCTCTCTCTCTCTCTCTCTCTCTCTCTCTCTCTCTCTCTCTCTCTCTCTCTCTCTCTCTCTCTCTCTCTCTCTCTCTCTCTCTCTCTCTCTCTCTTCTGCAGGTGCAACGACCACTGCATCAAGTACAGTGCACACACACCACACGGTCATCCTCCATTTTCGCGACTGTACAGCTGCACCGCGAGACTGTCCAAAACCAGACGGAAGCTGCTTTGGGCGGAGGCGACGGAGGAAGGGGAGGGGAGGAGAGGGAGGGGCAGGGCCTGAGGCACTGACAAGTGAAAATAGACGAGCCAGGCGGGCCTTACGTGAGGCATGTCTACCAGGTGTGAGGTCTTGAATGGCAACTGCAGGGCACATATTGAAGAGCGGTTGCCTAGCAACCAAGTTCTGTGTTATCCATGCCACCATGATAACGCGAACGCCAATTTGATTTGTGAGACGTGTAATAAACAAATTATGCACACCTCTAGCCCCGGGGTGAGCACAGGTTAGTCGTCGCATAGGCAGCCATTCACTTTTCACCGCAGTGCTATTAACATGTCAGGGTTGGGATAAACAGAGATCGATTATTGGAATGTAAACAAAATGAGGTCCTGATCGGAACTGACGTGGCATAAACCGAGTAGAGTGATCTTCACAATCACAAACGTAGGAATGAGGTCATCGGTTAGCAGCTGTAGTTTCTAAGGCGATAGATGTTGATTGTCGTATGCTTGGTCAATGGTCATTGGTCATGCTCAAAGAAGCGTCGGCCCAGAAACGCTCGGGTGGAGGATAGACTGTGCCGCAACACTCTAGTGTTTGGCGGCACAGTATACCTCAGTCTGAAGTCGGGCAGGACACGCCAGCCGGCCGGCCGCGGCCGTGATGAGTCCATGGACAACTGGACATTAGCTCATGCAACATTATAAACGCCAGGCCTTTCCAAAATATGATAAGTGCTAATCTAGATTCGATGTATCAAACAGTGAAACGGTGCTTATTGATCGAAACAAATGTTGTTCAACCTCTCCTTACCTCAGCGCATGGCAAGAGCTCTTAGAAGGGTGTAAGCATGATTCGACCGTCATGTCAAATACACATCACAATATCACTATCTCATCACCGCCACGTCACTTTGACGTCATCCTCACGTCACCAACTTACAGTGACATCACACTGACGTTAGCTCACTGTCACTCCTCGGCGGTTTTGATCATTCAGTATCTCTCAAACATCCACAGACACGCCTAACGTCCTTTGCCACACTGCCACTACTGACACAGTGAGCCCTGGGCCGCTACAAATCCAGGATGACACTGGGCTCCACAATCCAGCCCGGCTTAGAGCATCATGCATGGGAGCACATTACGGAAATACCCGCCACATTCCGCCCCTCCCTCCTCTCTTTCTCTCTCTCTCTCTCTCTCTCTCTCTCTCTCTCTCTCTCTCTCTCTCTCTCTCTCTCTCTCTCTCTCTCTCTCTCTCTCTCTCTCTCTCTCTCTCTCTCTCTCTCTCTCTCTCTCCCTTCTCTTTCTCTCCTTCTCTCTCTCTCTCGCTCTCTACAGATAGACAGACAGACAGACAGACACACACAGACAGACAGACAGACAGACACACAAGCAGGCAGACAGACAGGCTGGTCAGGTGAGGACCGATCCGGTCACGTGACCGGAAATGACGTCAGCTGAATGACGCGCCGCCGGTGCGGATTCGTGCTGTGATGGGGGGGAGGATGGGGGGATGGGGGAGGGGATTAATAGGGACGGAGGGTGGAAGAGATGGGATTCACAGGGAATACCACAGAGGGTCGAGTGTGCGATTATGACGGGAATTGTCGGTAGGATAAAGATAATGCTCCAAACAATGCATATAACGTTATTTCAATCGTGCTAAAAGGACGGTTTGGAAAAAGACAGTTTTATGCCATTTCATGCAACTCCTATCGTAAAAATGCATGTTGCAAGCAATATTTACACAACCTATTTTTTATCGCTGATGGAATTCGTGGAAGGGAAAAGCTGTTATGACAATCACTGAAGATTTTATGCCAACAAATATTCGTACAACACAAAATACCAAGCGCTGCTTGGCGGAATTCTAAGCCTATTTGAGTTTCAGAATTATGGCTTCAGAGCATGCTCCTGTTCGTCGCCTTCACCAAGACCGCTCAGTGTCTGCCGTCAGCCTTACGATCTCTGTAACCTTCACCGTTTGTTACATTTCGCCATAAACAAGTTACAAACAATCGTTGGGCGCTGCCAAGGCCAAACTGAGCACTGGCTCAGCTCTGGAATTCACGGTGTATACGAAGCAGAGGAGGCTGCAAACTGTTGACGAGTCAGTCCAGAAGTCTCGAGTAAGCGTGAGATAATGATCGGGGTCTGAGAAGAATGCGGGTTTGAAGACGCCTGGTAAAAATGTACGGCAGAGATAACTTGTTGCTACGCTTGAAGTATTGCAAGTTCCCCACAGAAATTCGTGATGTCTCTTCAAGCGATCAGCCCGTTTATTGCCAAGCGGTTTTCAACATACTTGTTACACATTGTTTATATCATTTTACGACCTTTTCTGTAACGAAATATTTGAATTGCCTTTATGTAGACGACGAAAAACACGTTTCAAATGGCGCTTGGGGAGTAGCAGAAATTTGTATATAAAAAATCGCCGATGAATGAATTAGACATGCATCCTCTTGTTGTTATTGTCTCATGTTATTGCAGCTAGCAAACACGTGTTTTTATCGTGTACCAATCGTACAAGATCTCTTTGAGCGGAACATCAAAACACAGACCCCAAAAACACGATGTCTCTGATCACATCTGACTCCGATTGATTCCCAAACGGCCAGCACGCCAAACCAAACGACAAGCCGCAGCCAAGATAAGCGACAATGTTCTTCTTTTGGAGCGGAGCCCCACATCCCCGCCCCACCCCCCGGTTGGCAATTAATAGCACACGACGCATCTCAACTTTCGTTCGTATGAAGGTGAGTGGCCGAATGAAGGAAAGGAAGATAAATGGATGAATAGATGGATGGATGGATGGATGGATGAGTGAATAGATAGAATGGAAATAAAATGGAATCGAATGGACGGACAGATTGACAAAAAGGTATATCAACTATCAAGTACAATCAGAAACAGACAAACAGAACGCAAAGATACAGACAGACACAGAGAAACAGAAAAAAGATGGAAAGCTATATGGACTTATAGTTAAATTGAACATAAAATTTTTACGTAAAACACAAGCAAATCCCGACAGATCGTTAACTGTGATTTTTTCTGTCTAAATATGGCAACCTTTTTCAACTAACAGCAGCACGTGTTTACCGTCTTCCCAACCTCCAACCCCTAATTTCACCGGATGCAATAACCGCACGCGCACTTTTGGCATGATGCCAACACAAACTTGGCACTGCGCCAACAGCAGCCTTCCGGACGTTGGCATTAGTGGAGCGGCATTGGCGAACCCTGTGATGAAACATGACATGCTAGATTTACGATCATTGGACTGAGGCCAGGCGTGGGCAGTTTGCGGGTGAATATGAGGAAGGAAATGATAGAGTAGGTCCTAGTGCAACTGGATGCCATTAAGTGTTAGATGTTACCTTACTGCGAGACGGAACTCTGGAGGTAGACGTGAGGGTATTTAAAATTTGGCAATAAAGTCCATATTTGTGCATTGCTCTAATTGTTATGGAAAAAATCACATTTTTAACTTCTCATTTGTCTCTCTTACTTTTCTTCATGAAAAAGCCTAGAGGCATTTTCACTTTTCTCCATTGACTTATAATGGAAAGGTCATGCCACTGGCCTGACCTTAGGTCACGGATAAAAATCCGAGATATGCAAATTATAGGTGCCCATATCATTATGCAATCCACCAAGTTTAGAACCTCTCTGACAATCACTGCAGGCTATACCTACATGATTGCATACTTGTTTAGGCTTGGTCAGTTAATTTGACCTGGTGACCTGACCTGACATGACCTGGGGTAGAAAATTTCACACATAGTCCAAAGTTGGTGTACAGCAAGCTACCCTACGCGCCGCGCTTTTTTATGCAAATGCAAAAAAAAATGCGACAGGGTGGTAACATATGTCCTATACTCGCATAATCAGCAATCGAACAGTTACTTGCCAACACCCTTCCTGCCTTTTCATATTGCATTATCAAATTTGCATGTGCTAATTTTTACCAACCACGCCTCAGGCGATCCGGTGAGTCAGGGCAAGACCAGCGACACCTGTACCACAGCTGCTAGTTTCCGACCCCACCACCAGGCGTTCAATTCATGACTAAAGCGATGGCCGCATGTAGCCATTCAGTACCGATATTTTCAAATAAAAGCATTTCGATTGGCATCCCTGTCCCCTGCTAACATTTGCTATGAAGCTGTGTTTATGTAGGGGTATGCATGCTGTAAGCTACTTGCAAAACTTAACGCAAAATAGACGAGAAGAATAATCACGGGAATCCACTTAAATGGTTTACAACACAGGGCTTCATAGAAAATGTGGTCCATATCTCACAGGCATCGTAAACCATTAGTATTTAGCATTTATCTCGCAAAAAAATAGCCAATACTTATCTAAAAAAGTAAGCAAACGTAAAAAGGCCGATCATCCCTGATTTAATCACAGCATTATTTCCCTTTCTCGTACCGTTACGCCCATTCCGATCCCAATCCTTACCGTCATGTTGGAGTAGATATTTGACATCATCCGCTATAGCTTCGCTGATACCCTCCGCCGTCCCTTCAATAGTAAACTCTGGTCTCTCTTCGTCCTTCCCCCTACGACGGTGCGGATCCTGATCCTGATCCTTGGGATCCCAGTCGGCTCCGTACTTCTCCTTCCGCTCCTGGACACGGCCGAGGAACTCCTGGCGCACCTGGGGTGAGACGAGGTGAGAGGTGAGACGTTAGCAGTGAGATACTCTCAGGTAACTAGTAAAGTTAGAATAATAAAGTGATGATGCCTTTCGAAATCCTCTGAAGCTGCTTCCTGTGAACAGGCCTGATTTTTCTTTTTTATCAACCTACGTGTTTGCATCATATTTGAAACGAAAAAGTGTCCTCTTATTGTCGTCGCAACTTATTACAACAAAGTCTTATTACATATTTATCCCAGGGCATGTCAAGTCAAACTTTAGTTCCTATTTATCGCACAACCTATCCACCGACTTCTCTTCTCTAAATCGGGATCACATTTAGCACTGGGGAACTCCACATTCACACCTGTTCAAACTCACAACCGCTCTATACACCTATAGTAAACCCATGTTAAGCTACACGGGCCCTTATTCTAACTCACATGTAGCCACAGCCACCTCATTTCTAGCCCATATCTAGCCCTCTGAGATGCGGATATATACGATATATTATACGAGATACGTATATATACGTTACCTGTTGTTCCACGCCGATTTCTCTTGGCTCAGGAGGTAGCTCGTTCTTGGGTTTGTTGAGTCTCAGAGATCCGTTCGCCTTCCTGTCCATTCGTTCCACCAGTTTCTCCTGAAATAGGAATAAGTGGAAAATAAGGGAAAACCATATCACTGAGGCTGAAAAAAATACATGAGTCAGCTAAAGTGAAATGGCACGTATATTATTATTAGCACCAAATCACATAATTTTATATACCTAGATATCAGGCAAATTATTCATTCAATGCCCTCGATATTGATTGATTTCCTATCCAACTTTCTATCCTATCCTCGGGTAATAAGAATAGTGAATACATGCGTAGATATTTATCTACCGTGCAGCCTTCATGAAGTTATGACAGTTTAATATTCAAGAGCGCGTTTTTATTTATGCTAGTAGACCTTTGCCAACCAATTCCAAACACACTATTCTTATCGGTAATTAATAACTTATGCGATTACACCCTAAAACATCACATTATCGGTAGCCACGGTGTATGACTGCACTTCTGGCACGTAGTACGTGGCACGTGGCGTCGTGGCACGTGGCACGTGCCCCAGTTGGCAGACAGTAGGACAGGACACGAATGCGACCCAATTGGCTGACTTCGGTCAGGCTAGACGGCCCAGTTCAGTGTATCGATAATGACCTTCTGACAAATGAACGGACTAATTTTTGCTGATAATTTATGGCTGCTCAATGCTCATCATAAATACACGGCAAAATGAAACACAGCATCAACTAACTATGAATATGCTGTGCCATCTTATTGGTTTCATATCTAACAACACAGTAATCAGTAACCAGGCGGAAGGGGTCAAAGCCTAAGCCCCTAAGCTCCGCTAAAAGCAAGATTACTTTACTACTCGCTAAATGCTCCCTCTATCAAATCCCTCTATTCCCTTTATCAATTCCCTCGGCTTTATCAATCCCTCCCTTTCAAGCATTGGAGCTAAAACATATACCTAAACCATTCCCTCACCTGATACTCGGAGTAGATCTGCTCTGCCAGCGGTGTATCCCCCGATGGTGGCTCAGCGCGCCTACAGCGCAGTCGGGCGGCGTATGTGGGCGCTCCATCAGGTGGCAGGAAGGAGTCGACCCGGCCCGCGTGCTCGTACCTGTAGAGGGAGAGATAATCTTTATTCAGTTTGGTACACTATGAAAGGCATTGAGTGACTGTGTTGGTAAGGTGACAAGACAACTGTTCCATTGATGATTATATAAAATAAATCATGCTAAAAAGCGTGTCAAACCACTGAAACGATTGTTGATTAGAACAATTGATTTAGAAGAAGTATTAATCTATTAATTAGATAATGAAACATCAGCAAGAAAGCTAGAATGAATCGTCATTTGGTGCCACATGACTTTTAATGAAACACTTCTTTTATATTTACCTGTTTTTCTCCTCATCCGTTTTACTGAAAACAAATGAGGTGATTGATCAAGCAAAAGAATGGGTGCATGGAAAGTCACACTATCAACTACATATACCATCAGCGCTACACTAAACTGGAACCCCATTCGTGAAAGCCTGAAAATGTCGACAGGGTATAACTAACTACTTCTTCGTCACCCTTTTACTCAGCAGGCAGTGCTATCTAATACATCCCTAGCCCTCGCCCGCACATGCCATTTTCCCATCCTAGAACGCACATGGGGGGGGGGGGGTGGTTGCCACCCCCCCCGCGCCATTTCGTTCCTGTTGGAGATAGAGCTTAGCAGTAAAGACCAAAAAGATTCTTTGGGAAGAGACGAATCCAATGATACCCAGTTTTACCTTCTCAGGTCAGTCATTGACCTTCCAGGTCAGGTCAAACTAAAAAATGTTGCTGTTTTGGGTCACCGTTGGATATCAAGTGCGCTGCTTAGCAAATACCGATGACGATGCTGTTTTCCGGTGCCAAGCCAGCTAGAACCTCTTTGTCACACTATCCGACCAGAATTTTGCTGCTGAGGTCATTTCAGGTCAAGTTAGGTCAAGGTCAATTATATGTGTTTGTATGTCTGTGTGTGTCTGTGTGTATACTGATGTGTGCACCGATTGTTTTTGGGTCCATATCACATGAAAGCATGATCTGAGAAGCTTTTACCAAAAATGCAGTCAAAAAACTTCACAAAAAGTAAATTCAGCTTGCCTAAAACGCAATTATCTTAGATGACCTAGGTTGACCTTGACCCTGACCTTGACCCCTGTACATCGTCGAACAACATGTTCCATGATAGGTGGGAGGTAAGACTGGCAAAAAAGGCCGAAATCAGGGTGTCAAAAGCTCACAAGGCCCATGGCAAACGCAAGATGTTGAGAATTGGCCATTTGGGTCATGACATGACCTTAAAAACAAGGTCATATCTCCGAAACCAAAAATCACAGAAACTTGAAATTTTCAGTGGACATCAAGAAAGGATAGACGAGCAGCTATACAAAAAATCAGCCTTCTAGCTCTAAAAATGTTGAGTGCAGAGCAGAAAGACTGCCTGGGGGGGGGGGGTGGCAACCACCCCCCCCCCCCCCCATGTGCGGGCGAGGGCTAGACTATGTGGCATGTTATGCATGCCAATATACCTACATCACTAAAGTACACACACTTCCAACAGGCAGTATACGATATATTTCACAAAGCCAAGCTACCATTACATATCTAAGTACCGAACTTTCTACCCCTCCTTCCCTACAAAAGCACTCTTCATCTCTCAACAACTTTCCCACCCCCACCCGACACTCAAAATACATCCCAACCCTCTCTCCTTTTCCTCCTTACCTCTGCACAGGCACCGATCGGTACGGTTGAGCCCGCTCATAATCATAAATATGCGTATCCACCTCATCAAATCTCGGCGGTCTGCATAGGTCCGCCAGAGACAGACTGCGGGCCGGTGTGGGCTGTGAGCCGCCCCATGTAGCGGGACGTCGACGTCGTTCCATCAGCTCGAGGAGGGCTTCTTCGAAGAAGGCTTCTTTCATCTCCTGAAGATGGAGAGGGAGAAAGTAGATGGGGGTGATGGGGTGAACGGGCGTGGGTAAGGTTGGGATGGTCGCAAAGTGCAACGGTGGAGTCTGTCCATTTTGTAACATAGCGATGTCACAAATAACGATGTGACGATGCACCATAACGATATTTGACGTGCAATACATTGGTGATTGTACATAATAACAGACACCAATACTACTAGCTAGGATTTCATAAAACTACACATTTGATCACCATTACATAATGATAATGACACGACGTAGCTCGTGTATGAAGAATGAAGGCATTTGTGGCACAGCGTTATCAGTGAATACCAGGATTATATACAGTCGACACAATAAATTGACACAGCGTAATCGACATACTCGAAAAATAGTTACGAGCAAGCGAGCGCAGCGAGCGAAGTGAGTCTTTTCAATATAACGGAAAAATCTCAGTATGAGCGGCCCGGCCCGGCCCGGCCCGGCCCCGCCTGTAACGCTTTTGAGAGGCTTATATCTCAGCAACCGCTGGACCGATTGGCCTGCGGTCATTTTTGATGGGTAGCCCCATCCCTTCTACCCCGTAATTGACTACTTTTGATACATTTCCGTGACCGTCGTGGCACGTGCCACGTGAAAAGTCAAGGGTGTTCAAGCTGTTTTGCAAAAGTAGTTATTTTGAGAGGCTCATATCTCACCAGCCGCTTGGGCGATTGAATTGCGGTAATTTTTGTAGGGTAGCAACATCCCTTCTACCAAAAATTGGATACTCTCGATGCATGTGGGTCACCTTCAGTGCACGTGCAAAATACAACAAAAAGAGGTGTCAAATTTGTTCCCATTTTAATAACTCGGTAATTACTGGGACGATTTCGCTGAAACTTGGCATACAGGTAGGCACCCACCAGGCAATGCATTTCCATGTGTTGCGGTTAAGGTGCTACTGCACGTGCGCACGTGCAGGGGGCGCTTCCAGATCTCGAGAACGGCTGGGCCGATTGCGCTCAAATTTGGTACACGGTTGGGGACCAGTTAGTAGGGTGCCGTGCAAAAGTCAGTTTGGACCCAGTTTGCACGTAAGCACGATCCAGGGGCGGATCCAAGGGGGGGTCACATGGGTCATGGCCCCCCCCTTGAGGCCCGGGGGCCCAAAGACCTTCCAGGGGCACCACCGGCCTATCAGGGGTATCACAGTCCTGACAGGGGCACCACAGGACCGCCAGGGGCACCACAGGCCTAGCAGGGACACCACGGGCCTGGTGCCCCTGGGCCCTGACAGGACTGTAACGCCCCTGACAAGCCTGAAGTGTCCCCGGCAGGCACGTGGTGCCCCTGACAGGCTTGAGGCGCCCCTGCAAGGCCGGTGGTGCCCCTGGCAGGCCTGTGGTGTCCATGGCAGGCCTGTGGTGCCTTTGCTAGGCCTCTGGTGCCCCTGACAGGCTTGTAATGCCCCTGGAAGGACTGTGGTGCCCCTGGGCCCTGACAAGCCTGAGGTGCCCCTGACAGGCCAGAGGTGCCCTTGCTAGGCCTGTGGTGCCCCTGGCAGGCCTCTGGTGCCCCTGACAGGCTTGCGGTGCCCTTGGAAGGACTGTGGTGTCCCTGGGCCCTGACAAGCCTGAGGTGCCCCTGACAGGCCCGTGGTGCCCTTGTTAGGCCTGTGGTGCCCCTGGCAGGCCTCTGGTGCCCTTGCTAGGCCGCTGGTGCCCCTGGCAGGCCTCTGGTGCCCAGCTGCGCCCGGAGAGGACTGGTGCCCCTGAAAAGTCTGAAGTGCCCCTCGGCAGACCCGTCGTGCCCCTGACAGGCCCAAGGTGCCCCTGCGAGGCCGGTGGTGCCCCTGGCAGGCCTCTGGTGCCCCTGGCAGGTCTGTGGTGCCCCTGGCAGGTCTGTGGCGCCCCTGGCAGACCTGTGTTGACTGGTGCCCCTGCTAGGTCGCTGGTGCCCCTCACAGACCTGTGGTGCCGCTGGGCCTTGACAAGCCTGAGATGCCTGGCTATGACAGGCTCGTGGTGCCCCTGATAGACCAGTGGTGCCCTTGCTAGGCCTGTAGTGCCCCTGGCAGGCCTCTGGTGCCCCTGCTACCCCTGCGCCCTGAGAGGACTATGGTGCCCCTGAAAAGCCTGAAGTGCCTCTCGACAGGCCCGTGGTGCCCCTGGGCCCTGACAGGCCCAAGTTACCCCTGCGAGGTCGGTGGTGCTCCTGGCAGGCCTCTGGTGCCCCTGGCAGGTCTGTGGTGCCCCTGGCAGGCCTGTGTTGACTGGTGCCCCTGCTAGGCCGCTGGTGCCCCTCACAGACCTGCGGTGCCCCTGGAAGGACTGTGGTGCCCCTGCCCCTAGGGGTGCTCATGGGCCCAACAGGCCCGTTGTGCCCCTGACAGGCCTGTCGTGTATACTTGCTAGACCTGTGGTGCCCCTGCTTCCTGGCAGGCCTGTGGTGCCCCTGGCGGGCCTGTGGCGCCCCTACAAGGCCGTAGGTGCCCCTGACAGGTTTGTGGTGTCCCTGGAAGGACTTTGGTGCCCCTGACAAGCCTGAAGTGTCAAGGACAGACCCTTTAGACGCCAGGGTCAAGTTCGTCGGACTGACAACGATTTGCTTACCTGATAACGTTCCTGGTAAGTACTCATTACTCAGCGTCCACAACATATATACACATAGCACATTCATATATACTTGCTTACAATTGGTAAATGTGGTTGTGGCTAAGAGGTAAGATACTGACTAAAAATAAAAAATAAAAATAAAAAACTGAAAATGGGGGCACCACCAAAATGAAGTGGACGAAATCCGTTGAGTTTTTAATTTTGGGTATAGGTAGGGGCACCACTTCGATTCATGACCCTCCCCTTGGAGTTTTCCTGGATCCGCCCCTGTGCAGAATGCCGTTTCCGTAAGCGTAATCGACATACTCGAAAAATAGTATTATTGTATGTCCAGTCAAGCTCATTTACCGATTATCTTCCAATCCTTAGCCTTGGCGCTGGGAAGTCATCCTCCCCCTTCCTTACCTGGTCCAGCAGTCGCGTCAGGTTGGGATTGGGCGTCTCATCCCTCCCACCGAGGTCACTGAGGTCCCAAAGTGATCGACTGCGACCCGAGACCAGACTTCTGCCGGCGCTGAGGCGACTGTCCGGGCGACTAGAGAGGGGGAGAGAGAGAGAGAGAGAGAGAGAGAGAGAGAGAGAGAGAGAGAGAGGGGGGGAGAAATGTGAAAAATGCGCGGGAAAAAATGTGGAAGCGTTATAACGGAGATCGAGAACAATAGCGGCACGCGAAAAGTGAGAGCCTTGAAGCTCTGTGAGAAATTTGATGAAATAACGTGATTTAAATGCTTGCATCATGATTCTACCACACATTTCTAAGCAAGGACCACTGCTCCATATTTTTGTTTTTAGGATTAATCGTTTTACACATAAGACTTCGTCCGTAACTGGCTTTGTGCCTGTGGATGATTGTGAAATAAACTGAACTAAAACTAAACTAAACTAAGCTCAACACACGGTCCCCAGCCTACATGCTCCAATGTTCACCCACCTATCCGGTGCGTCCCCAGCCATCACCTACCTATCGGGTGCGTCCCCAGCCGCCAGCCATTGCCCCAACAGGTGATTCTTCAGTCTCCTCTCTGTTAGAGCGTCCGTCAACTGATCCAGGTCTGCATCCCAGGCTGGGAGGCGTTCTCTGCTGCGGTGGAGGTCACCGCTGCGGCTACGACGGGTGACAAAAGCTTCGGGGTACCAGTATCTGGAGATAGATATGGGTTAGGAGTTGATAGTACCAGTATCTGGAGATAGGGGTGGGTAAAGGGGTGGAGAGTAACATTGGAAGCAGTCAAAAGAGGTGGGTCAAGTGGTAGTGATTATACCTACATATGAGTACCTCCGGATACCTTTAGTTATACTCGTATACCTCCGGATAAAATAATGAAAAAGGCTTAACGGGGTAAGGAGTGCCAAAACCTGGTTAGGTAGACGGGTAAGCGAGCAAATGAACACGGATGCACAACAGACGGACGATTCCACTGCTGCAACCTTCATAATTTCATATGTTTGCACATCCTGCCTCATAAGTCCTCCAATTCAAGACTTAACGATAGTAACCATCAGCACCATATAAATACAAACTCATTCCGAACCAAAATTTTAATCAGCCACGGTCGCAACTCTTCCCCTGCAAATTGGTTGAACCCATTACCCAACTCACTCCCAATCCGACCAAAAACCTACAGTTTCCCTTCGAACCGTTCCAGCCCATTCCTGCACTGATCAAACACTTTACTCCGCTTCCTCACAAGCATTGTTACCCAACCCAATCTAGTCCCCCAATCGCATCCTCAATCGAAAGCAATCCCAACCTTCTCACCTCAGCGTATCGACGCACTCCTCTTGTCCGGACCGGACGCTGTGCGAACTCGGCCATCGTCCAGGTCTTCTCCATCCACCCGTCTCCGTATAATCCCAGACACTTTCTGGTCTCTCTTGATCGGGCACATCGGGAGGTTGGGCGAGACCAGGTACTGAGTTGGAGCGGGGGCGAGTGGAGAAACCTAGAGACCCACAACGAGCTGGAGGAGGTGGTGGGGGTGGTGGAGGAGGGGAGAAGGAGTCGGGAGGTGCTCCAGAAGAGGTGAAGTGTGAGGGAGGTGTTGTGGTGGGAAGAGGTTTGGAGGTTGAAGGAGGAGTCCAGGTATGTTGAGAAGTTACAGGAGCTGAAGAAGACCAAGATGGTGCAGTGTTGGCGGTGTATCCAGCAGATTTACCAGCAGCCTCACCAGCAGCAGCATCAGCGGCTCCAGTGCCCTCAAACCAGGCGGGAGCTCGAGGAGGTGATCCACACACTCCTTGCGAGCGGCGAGGTGGAGCAGGTGGTGCAGGCGGTGCTGAAGATCCAGTTGTTGAGGATACCGGCGGTTCGAGACCCATGGCATCCACAGTAGTAGTATTAGTAGCAGCTGACTGGGAGCGGTGACGTTTTCTCCCCGCTGCAGTCTTTCCTCTCCATGGCGCCGCACCTTCGGAAGTATTGTCAGTCACTTCTCCACGTGAGTTTCGTTCTTCAAGAGTCTTGCTGGTCGCGTCTTTCTCTGATGTCGTCTTTTGGCCACTGGCGGGGGACATTTTCGTCTCCTCGTTCTTCGTCTGCTTGGTCGACATCTCCTCCCTCTTCTTTTCCTCCATCATGTCCAGCATCTCGGTGACTTTCAGCGAGGACGAAGCAGATTCCAGCTTGCGCATCTCTCTACGAAGCGCCTCTTCTTCTGACCTAACCAGCACCGAGCCTGTAGCAACCTCATCAAGATTGCGTCGGATGTCTTGTAGAACCTCTTCAGCCGTCTTTGCAGGATCATCACTGGTCGTGGAAGCGGCGTCCCCGGCACCTCCTTTCGGAGCTGTTGGCTTGGGATAAGAGGGAGTATGGGTTGTGGCAGATGTTGACACTGCTTGAGAATATGTTGTACCAGATGTTGGCGTTGTTGTCTTCGACGGCGTCGACTTGAATCCAGATGCGGTAGATGTTGCTCCGATGCCGCTCGTTTTCACGTCACTGGATGCGTAAGACTTGACGTGAGAGCTTGACATCACCTCACAAGACGACTCGATATCTTTGGCGCTGTTCCCACCAAACCCAGCCCCTGTGACACCAGAGCTGGTCAGCACTGTTGGACCACCTCGACTCGTCTTCTCAGCCGTCTTTCCTGTTGGCGTGGTAGCACGGACTTTCATGAAGAGGGTTCCGTTCTGATCTACATCACCAGTACTAGCTTCGCCATCCTGATCGGCAGGTGGCATCATCGAGTTAGTCTCGGAGGTCAGCGTCTTTTTCGTCATCGTCTTGGAAGTTGTCTCTGTAGATGTCTTAGTGTAGGATTTCACAGATGACAGAATGGAGCTTTTGGCGCTTTTGACATGTCCAGGTTCGATCTCCATTGCCTTCGAAGATCGTTGACCAAGGGATTCGTCAAAACTTGACTGTTTTCCTAGACTACGCTCTTGATTAGCGGAAGCTCCAAACTGTGTTGCTCCTAGACTCTCTTCCGTGAAATGCCGTTTTCTCTCACCTCGGCGTGAAAAGTCTTTGCCTTCGCCGTATTCAATGTCACTTGTCTCCCTCAAAACAGTTTCAGCTCTTCTATCTAAATCTTCCACTTCTTGCTCCTCAAACCTTCTCACCAAGTCACTGAATGTCTTCCCACCATCTCCACCCACCACCGGCCGATCTCCCGGCTTCCCACCTTCTTCTACGCCCTCTCGCGCCGGTACTGCCTGGCCCGCGTCGCCTGTGTCCTCTCCTTGGCAGGAGAATCCCAGCTGACCTGGGACACTAGCGGTAAAATTGGCGACACGACTTTGACAGTTGTACGGTCTGCCAACAATGTGGCCCTGGCTATCGGAACCTTCGATGGTCAGTGGGTGGGTGGGTGATTGGGTTGGGAGGAATGAAAATTCGGTGAAAGGGTGTGGTAGTTGAGAGTGATGGGTTGGTTGCTGAAAGTCATCTTGTGATTGGAGACGTGAAGGACTGTCTAGAGAAGCTAGGCGGCGCTCATCGGTGTATGATACCTCGGTAGACGACTTTGTATCATTCGATGGAATGCCGTACACTTGATCATGATCGTGTCTGTAAGGCACACGAGGTTTTGGTGGCACCGGTGGGGGTGGTCCTCGTTTACTTCCCGTTCTTCCGTCTGTATTTGCAGAGGTTTTCAACCCTTCCTCTGGCACATCAACAGGCTCGCAGTGATCGGAATCTATGAACGTCACTTCAGGCAGTTCCGGTGTATGAGCTGAAGTTCCCTGCAATTCTGACTGCGTAACGTCTTCATCAGTTTCTGAGAATATGATGCCCTCAGTGAGCATGCGCTGAGTTAGTTCATCATCTGTATGTTCATCAGTCTCTGTTTGCAACTCGTCTCCTGAACTTGCAACGTCATAGGGAGAAGAGGAGGTGTAATCTAACTTTGCTTTACTCGAAAGAGCGGCTAGTGTTGTATTTCCACCCTTTCTGTAATTATCGGATATAATTACATCCGAACTTCTGCATACGACGGGATTATGAGTGTCCGAGCGCTCACTATCATACTGTGAAAACAAATCAGATTTCGGCTGATTGCTTGGTCGTGCATTCGATGTGTAGCCTGTTTTGTTTTCTTCCGTATGTTTTCGATTCTTGCTCTGCCCCTGCTTTTCGTTTTTAAAGTTGGCCATGGCGCGGGCCGCATACATTAGCTCATCATAAGGCTCGTCAGGGTCGATTTCTAACGGATCCTTTTCGCTGGCGTCTTCAGTTTGTCTCTTCACGTCATCAGTGTCACCAACGTCGTCTGCGTAGCTGGAAAGCCTTCCACGAATGGAATCCACATCAATTTTAGCATCTGATTCAGCACTGCCAACATTGTCCCCCCTTTCAACACTACTATAATTCGCCGTTTCAAACAGATGTCGCTTTTCTTCAACCGTAAGCTCAGACAAATCCCTATCCCTCATCCGTGTCAGCTGCTCAATCAGATCATCCTCCAACTGCTGAAGAGTAGCATCCACCTCTGAGAACCCATCCGAATACCGATTAGTCTCATTTCCCTCAACCGCAGCCGCTGCCACCGCCTCGACCTTTCTCTGGCGTGTCTTTTGAACCACCCCCGCCCCCGTCACCGTCTCCGACTCTGCCTTCCGCGCCGCCGCCGATGTCGACGACGTCCTCGTCGCCGTTTCTGGCGACGACACTTGGCCGCCATCGCCGTCTGGCCGGCGATCCGCTGTCATCTCCGAAGCGGTCAAGCGTGCCGCTGATGGTTTTTGACACATCTGAGCGGAGGACCGACCTGTCTCCGTCTCCTCTGTCACTTTGGTCGTCGGTGCCGACGAAGCTAACGTCGCTACCGACGAAACCGACGGCGCCGACGAACGGACGGCCATGACAGTTTTAGGTGGGACGGTTCGGGGTTGGGATGAGGAGGTATTTTTAGACGGGCTTGACAGGCTCGGAGTGCTCTCGGCATGTCGATTGGGTGATTCCGACGCGTTGGTGACGCCGGGTGACGTAGTCGCTGTGTCAGGATCAGCGCAGACGTTTCCGCTGATGTTGTTCTTGACGTTTGTGACGTGGCTGTCACTTTCCTGGGTGTCCGTATAGGGTTGGTCGGTTGAGTTTTGTCTAGACATGTTTCGATAAGTGGCGTCAAATTCGTCGGCGAGACGTTGGAGATCAGTCTCGCCGTTAAAACTGTTTCGAATTACAGCTTCGGCAAGTTCGTCCACTGCCTGGGCAGCTTCAGGGCTGGAAGAGCCTTCCTTCAGTAGCTCACGGTCCATTTCAGCGAGGTATTCCTCCAGCTGACGACTCGTTGCATCAGAGAGCCTCCAGTTTTTGGCAGCTGTAGTTTCTTGCTGTTGTTTCGTATAATCCGAAGATTTGAGTGCTGCCGGCTTTGGTTCGACTGATTTTGAGACCGATTTTGTAGAGGGTTTCAGTTCTACTTTGTCAACTAGTTTCTTGCGTGGTAATTTTGGAGACGTGATGATCACTGTATCGATTAGCTGTATTTTGCCACTTTTCCGGTTTTCTTTTGACTTGTCCGCCTCAAAAGTTTCACTACCTATTTTAGGATGACATTTTTCAGACTGATGACTCTCAGCACTTGAATCATCTTTATTTTCAACCTCTTCACTGTCAGAAGTTTTTATCTTATCATCTATGGGTCTGGTTGCGTTTGTTTCATCATCAGCCTCATCAATAGCTCTGTCGCTTTGAAAAGTGCCGATACTGTCCATGGTATCATCGTGATCAGTGTCCTGCTGATGACTTTTCTTAGATGGTTCTCTCGTCATATTTACATCATCCCCTTCCGTTTTATCCGGTATGCTGGATTTCGTTTCAATCAAAGCTGGCGCTTCCATCTCACACCTTCCCAACTCTGCTGCTCTTCTCTCCCCACCCTCCTCACTCTCCCTCTCTTGCTGTTCACCCACTCTTCCCTCCTCTTCTTCCATCTGCCGCAACGCCTCCCACATGCTTCCTCCGTCCATATCCTCCTCTTCCAACACATCCAACCCTCTCTCTTCAATCGTCCAGAAGGCGCCTTCCTCGCCCCCACCTTCACTCTCCTCGGCATCAGTGCTCAACTCACGACTCAACTCACCACTGAGCCGGCGACTGAGTTCTGAGTCGGCAGAGCTGGACAACTGAGCTTCTTCGATGATGGTTTCCAGTGAGGAAGGTTCTGGACAGCGACTTATCAAAAGAGACATAAGAGGGTCACGGGAGGATAGAATAGAGGTGGGTAGATCACGGGCTGGTGTTATAATAGAGGTGGGTGAATTGTTGGTTGGCCGGATAGTGGTGGACAAGTCTCTGGTCGGTGGGGCAGAGGTGGAGAGATTTTGTGTTGATCGAAGAGAAGTCGACAGTTCACGACTGCATGAAATAGAGCTGGGAGGTAAGGCTTGTGGGGATGATGACGGTCGAATAGTGCTACCAGAAGCTGAAGAGAGACTGGGCGTACTTTCCGACGATGAGCTGGCAGTTGAACGCATTGATAGGTCGCTCTTAGGTAAACTTGGGTGCTTGCTCGCACGATTTGACGAGTGGTCGTCTAAAATAACCCCAGCATCTGGCTCACGTTTCATTCTCGAGCTTTGAGGAGATGAACTATCTTTGGTGTCGAACTGGACTGTGGTCTTGACTAGTGACGCGTCGTGTTCCGGGGCAGCTCCGTGTTTTCTGGTCTGGGCAGAAACAATAGCCGCTTGTTTGTGAGATTCCTGGCTTTCAGCAACGCGTGACCAGGTCGTTTGTATTTCGGGCGAGTATGTGTCAGCCTTCGCCATCTCCATCCCTGCTGCCTCCTCAGTGGTCGGCACCGGCTCAACAACTTCTTTTTCTCGTCTTGAAGCACATTCATTCATCTGCTCTGACTTTCTAGGTTTGTCGTCTTCATCCTCACCGACCAAACCCTCTCCCGGTACCGCTTTTTTACTCATCAATTCATCTGTCGTCTCACCTGTCGCCGATGACGTTTCGATGGTCGTCTCCACCCCCGCTGTCGTCACCGCCGTCCCCTCCGCTGTCGTCGAAGTTGTCGAAGCTGATGACAGCTCGATGTTTTTCTGGGTGCGTTTTGTGTGAGATGTGGTGTCACTAGTGGCACTGGTCGAACTGCGAATGTCATCCTGGGGTTTCTGATTGGATTTGGTAATTTCCACAGGTGGTGTATTTGGTTTAGCGCTACTGGTTTCAGAAGAGGTGAATGTTGCACTAGTGACGTCTGTGGATTTATTCATGCGACTGACGTTAATAAAAGCATAGTCACCTCGCATTCGCTTACTGTCATCTTTACGGCCAGTGTTGTCATCATTTTGGCTACTGCCCTCGTTTCTGCTTTCAGAAGGTTCAACATCTTCAATTATGACATCACACTGACCCATGACGTCATCTCCGACCGCAGGCGACGGTGGCGCCGCTCGTGGCGATCCCGAGAACTCTGACTCCTGACTGGCCGCCGTGGGACTCTCCAGCCATCGATCCAGCGGACAGCCACTATCAGGAGACGGGCGGCAAGACGAACCGCCTTCAGACGCCGGCGCACTGTGGAACTCATACTTCACCGAGCTACCACTAGATGGCAGTGGTGGCGATCGACCCGAGGTCGTGCCAGAGGCGGATCCAGGCGGCCGAGGAGGGCGGCCAGAGATCACTGAGGCGCTGTTAGACCCCACCTGAGGGCCCGCAGAATGAACTTCAGCGTGTGTGACCTGTGTATTGTTCCTTCTCTGTAGCTTTGGCGTAGCATCGGCGTCTAGATGTCGCTCAAACGGAGGATCTGATGCACAGGAATCTTCGTCTCGATAGCTGAGTCTTCGTCCCGTAGCAGCAAGTTCAGCTTCTTCGGACACAAGTGACCCACCCTCCCAGTCCGTCGTATCAACAGTAATGTCAGAGACTAAAGACAAGCGAAGAGAATCATCACTGAAGGAGGGTTCTCGATCACGCGAGCCAGGAGTGAAGCGGAGAGGCACGGATCCAGCCGCGGCGGGAGTGTCGTCTGTAAACAGATCCTCAGTCCTAGCAGAATCCAGCGAAGACATGGACAGGCGCAGGGATGACTCTCTCGAACAAACAGCTTCTTCTTCATCGTCCGTCTGTGCAGCCAGCGCTACTGCCAACGCCACCTGTTGTTCACGTAAGCTATCCCAAGTGTCCACACTCACCGCTAGAGGCGCTGTCACCGCCGCCGCCGACACAGCAGAAGCCACCTGTTGGCCGACACGTGCTGGCACGGTGCCCGAGGCTGTTTGGGCCTCAACGCCGCCCACGCTGTTGCTCCCACTAGGTGAGTCACCATAGTCAACGTTATCATAGAAAGGCGACTCTTCCTTGGCCTTTCTCAAAAGAGCGGCGCTGACTCCCTGTGGCGCCTTCAGATGCATTTCAGATCGCTTTTCAACGTCCCTCGTGACTTGTTTGGTAGGGAACTTCACTGGTAACTTCGCGCTAGATTTGGCTGGCCTGGCTGGCTTACTGGACGAGGAGACTTGAGAGGTGAGCGTCATCACCATAGCGCTCGTTTCGCCGTCTGGAGAGAAATGAGGTGTCGGTTCATTTCGCTTGGTGTCTGTCAATCTTGGCTGGCTTCCGCCGCCGCCGCCGCCGCCTCCACCGTGGCACGACTGCCCGCTGAGTCTATTTCTGTACAAATCCGCCGCCGAGGAAGCTTCCGGAGAGGAATCGATGCTAGCGTCCGGTCCAACTGACCCAGAGGTCATTGACCCCGAGAGGTCGTCCCGAGTGGAAGAGGTGTCAAGAGAAGATGTGTCGTCGGCGTAAGGGATGTTTGAGGTGTCTCGGGAGCGGTTAGAGATGTCTGGGGTATTTGATAAGTCGCAGGGAGTTTTGTCAGTGTGTGAAGGTGTCTCGTCGAATTGGAACATGCGTTGACGATGTGATTTTGAGGATCCAGTTGTGCCTGTGCCGGGTGACTTGGATGAACGTCCAGCTGACGGAACACCAAGACCGAAGTTGAAGTCAGCTAGTGAATTGTCTGGTCTAAGCATATCGCCGAGGACTCGCTCCAGCCGTTCATCTTTCTCATCAGAACTGCTCCGTGAAGCACGCAGTACTTCTTCGAAGAGACTCGCATCGAGACGAAGCGCATCACGGCCAGTTCTACCCGCTTCGCCGCCTGCTCGGTTAGCTTCGTTCGCTTCGCCAGCGAGGCTGAAGCTCACGGGTCGCGAGTCATCTGAGAGAAGCGATCCATCAGCAGCACGCATGTCTTCCAGAAGTTGCAGAGGGTCTTCTGAACAGGTCGAATCTCTTGGCGAGGCACCCGCTTCGCGAAGCGCTCCTGGTGATCCAACAGGGGACGAGTATACCTCACTGTCATCATCTGGCGTCGGTGAATCGTTACGGGCGAAGCGCTCCCGTTTCTCAGGCGTCTCAACCACCACAGCACGCTTCGCAG